GTCCGGCCCAGGGGACCCACCGGGCCGTCACTTGTCGCGCCGTCCTCACTCTTGCTTCGCTCTTTTCTCCCTCACTCCCTAGTAGCCCTACTTGGGCTGATAGGCTGGACAAGAAAAGAAACCCATCTTCAAGGAAGCACCATATCCCTCCACAGACGGGACAGGTGGAAAAGACGATGCAAAGAGGGGGATATGGATAAGACATTATTACACAACACAGAGCAAAAATGCACACAATCGAACTGCACTTACAGTCACTCGATTCGGCTTTGTCGGCCTTGTGGCGTGAACGACATACGCCAGTGTCTCGGTTCCAGAAGGTCGGATCCTGAGGCCGTCTAAATAGACACTTGAACCAAACTTCAGAGTTGCCCTTCTGATGCAGGGGTGGTCAGGTAGCAGCAGAAACTTAGAGCCCCCTCTCGACTTGATTGACGATGGTTGCGACTGCAGGTTCGCCTGGTGTAATGGTCACTTGCGGATGCGGCTATTGATCCGCCACGTCCTGGGTGCGTGCGACCCGGTACCTGCGTCTCTGGTAGAATAAGGCTCCCTAGGCTTGTGCCGCTATGGTAGTCTCTCCAGTCCTGTGTTCGTCTTTGTTTCAACTTCGGGGTCGCCATCCAAGCCTCTCTGCTCGAGAACGTCGGCTGGAGCCGTAAGCGGGGAGGGATTGGTCGCGGCCTGGCTTCCATTTCATTCCGTAAATGGATATTTACCTCTTTGCTCACAAGACATACGCAGTCTCCATTGTTGCCCGTTCGTGGTAACGTTCTCAAAAGCCCCAGCGTTGGAGGCTGGATGCTTTCAACAGACAGGAGGAACCTAGAGCACCGCTGTGTCGATCGGAAGCACATGGTTGTCATAGTGTTTGTTGTAGAGGGGAACAAACGTGGCTGCGCTAGGCAAAGGGGAAACAGAAAAACAGGCGACTACGATTGGCTTCACGGAACAACGAGTCTCCCCAATTTTGATGCCCATGATTGGCAATAAGTGGAATCATCCATTCATGTGAACAGTGGCTTCGTGAGATGATCTTCCTTTCTATTAAGACTTAACGCCACGGCCATCGTTTTAACTGTTTTATCGAGGTTCGTCACGAAGATCTCATGGCGTCGGATTGCTGTGAGGTGGCTCTGCCGTTCCTGGAGTCGCTTCAACTGTTGTTGGTGTGGTTTCAGGGTTGGCATCCTCAACTTCTTTCTCCGCATCCTTTACCTCATCGCCCTTGATACCATGGACAACCCTCAGACCCTCGGCTTGCCTGGTCATCTCGTCAAGCTCCCGCTTGCGTTGAAGCCGAACCTTGATCTCCTTGGCCATGTCGGAAATACTGACAAGAATACCCTCCTTCTCAGGATGGCCTTCTTGAAGTCCCATCTCCTTAATCTTGACCTTGCCTGACTTGACTTCATCTTCGCCCAGAAAGATGGCAAATGGTACACCATTGGCCTCGGCGGCCTTGAATTGTGCGGGCAGCTTAGGCTTAACTTTGTAAAGGAACTCTGCCTGTGATAGCACAGTTAGTCCTCTGTTCCGTGCAATAGTAAGGTTCGTGGGAAAAGTCAACTAACCTTGATTTCAGACTCCCATAGCTTGGCGCACACTGACATGCGTTCTTTCAGATATCCCTGACCAAAGGCCATGACATAAACATCGACATCATTGCTACGCACAGCAGCATTCTTCTCAGCGGCCATCTTGGCCTTGGTGATAGAGAAAATCCTGTCAACGCCAAAGGAGATACCGACGCAGGGGATTTGACTCTTGCCAGAGAACATGCCAACAAGGTTGTCGTACCGGCCACCGGCAGCCACGCTTCCTACGCCAACTGTGGGGTCATCGGAACGGTCGTCATCCTCAGAGCCCTTCTTACCCTTCTTCTTGGAAGGCTTAGACTCAGCATTCTCCTGCCCAGGCGTGACCTCAGGAGCAGAGCCCTGTGTAACGACCTCGTAGATAAGTCCGGTGTAATAGTCGAGGCCTCGAGCCAAGCTGAGGTCAAAAGAAACTCGATCCAGGCAGTCGAAGGCCTCTAGGTACTCAAACAGCAGAGCAAGATCTTCCATTCCCTTCTTCATGGATTCATTTGCGGCCAAGCTCTCTGTGCTCTGAAGCTTCTGCAGCAGATCCTGCTTGCCCTTGAGAACAACCCACTCTCCGATTCGGTCAGCGACATCACCGTCAAGTCCCTTTTCCTCGGTCATCTCCTTTCGCACATCAGCCCAAGGCAGCTTGTCAAGCTTGTCGACGGCCGAGGAAATGGTGCGGATCTTGTCCTCAGGGACTCCACAGACTTGGAAAATACCGTCAAGAATCTTTCGGTGATTTAGCTTGATCGTGTATCCACCGTTCCAACCAAGTCCCTCAAATACTTCTGTAATAATGCGGATGACCTCGGCGTCGGGCAGCATGGGGTCGTAGGTGCCGGCAATGTCGAAATCGCACTGATAGAATTCTCGCATGCGACCTTTGGTCATCGCAGGTTGGTCTCGGCGGTAGACCTTGGCGATGTGATATCTCTTGATGTTTTGAATCTGCTTGTTCATGGCTAAGAAGCGTGCAAAGGGAACAGTTAAGTCATATCGCAGAGAGCAGATCTCACCACCTTGATCAGCAAGGTCATAGATGAGCTTGCTGTCCTCTCCATATTTTCCAGCGAGGATCTCTCGGAGCTCGAAGACGGGGGTATCGATCGTGACTCCTCCGTGGCGCTTGAAGACCTGGGTGATGGTGTTGAAGATGTGGTCACGGATAACCATATCCTTCCCCTCCCCTTGGATGGTGTTAAGGAATGACCTCTGTAGTACGATTGATTAGATCACTTACAGTCCTTTGTACCCTTGGGGGTCTTGAGCTCGAATTTATTCTTGGGTGCCATTTCGAGTGATGTGGGAGACTCTAGAGTGGTGGTGGGGTTTGAAGGGGAAGAGGAAGAAGAAGCGTAGCGGGGCAGGGAAAAGACTGTGATGGAGGGGTCGAGACTGAGGAACCTTGAATGACGATACCTCCGAGTAAGAGCAAGGCAGGAAGGCGGACACCGACAGGCAGGTGTGGACGACAGTGGTCTTGCCGTAATGCGGCTGAGGGAAAGGGATTTGATTGTGGCTTGTTTTGGCCTCATCTCCCTATCATTCGATGCGAGGACGCGACGCGCTCAGAGGAAATTGAAGCTTTGGAATTCACCACAAAAAAGGCGGCCGATGCTCATCATGCGAGCGGCGAGACGGGATACCTATGCGTCACACGTTTGGGTACAGCCAGCAATAAAACCTTTCCAGTAGGAGAAGCAATTGAATACCTTAAGGTAGCCTAGGCTGCCTGGCCCGAGAGAGTTGGTGGGGCATACCTTACTGATTATGGCCCGAAATGCTACCTAGGGAGCCAACGCTGCACTAATTGGCTTTGATTTACGGGTACCTTGGTATTATTAGATGCAATAACTTAGTAGGTAGTACAAATTGAAAGAAATATGACTGCAACGTGTAAGAAAGCCTGGAGAGAAGGGATCTTGCATATATGGGGAAGAGACCATAACTATTGTATTAACATAAGTTCAAGGTTTGCTATATAGAGCACTGAATTTAATCAAGCGACGCCGTTTGAGGCTTCACTCAAAAAGCGACCTGATATCATCAGCATACCTGGTTAAGTAGTTACTCATTACAGTATGTAAGGACTCAGGACTCCATAATAGATATTTACATAAGAAATAACTGGATACCTAACGTTAGTATATATATCCAATTGCTACTGTCGTTCTATCAGATGCTTGCATTATAGGGTAGCAATCTATTGTTCCACTTCATCATCGCGAAGGTAAATTTCAGGTATTTAATACCTGGGTATATTTTGGGGGAAGTTAATTGAATGCATTTCTCTGAGACTTATCATGCTGTAGGAAGTGATCCTACCATTCAGACTTGTCCAATGCGACAATCCGGCACACACGATAATTAAGAAACGGGGCATCAGCCTCATCCCAAGCTTCTTGAGATCACGGGACGCTCACTGAGGTACGCATCAGATTTAAAGTCATCCTTCCTTGGACCCCATACCCCAGAAATGGTACTCGAGTGCTGTGACTGGCATGTACACCACCACACTCACATTGGATCGGAATCTTGATTCGATCCGAACCCGAAGAGCTTACCCGAAGCGAGGATGGAAATTAGAGACTGGTATCATATCAAGCTGGCGCTATTGGCTGGGCCGACCTAAGGAGTACGTAGCAGGGCAGGTCAGTTCACCAAGTCCATGACGGGCATCTAGGCAGACAGACGACTTGTACAGGCTCGTGGTTATTGTCGACTCTCATATTCATGAGAGTCGATAGGCGAGATAGTTCATTGTAAGCGGTTAAATAAGCTAAATAAGCTTATTTGGCAAGATTTCTTGCATACCTAGGTACCTATTAACTAGTTGCATCAAATATCACACAACTCCATATATGTACGCGTACTCGGTCCCTCTTCACAGGCCCCGAGTCAAAACATGGTCTGTGGTGACCAAGCCATTAGCATGCTGACAGACAGGGATTGGTTGATGAAAAGTGTTCAAAAGATCGAGTCCAGTCTCAAATATAGATCTGACAGAATACACTTGTTTTTCCTGAGTCGTTGATCACCATAGGCACCCTTCATCGACCACCGTCAGTTTAAAGCTCTTGTCACGTCAAGAATCACCAGTTTTTCCCTTAATGCCTGCTGGTCTCGTATCTCGTATCAACGACTTCCCACTACGGTAATATACTAACTTAGTACCTTAAACAAGTCTGGACTGTAACTACCTAGTACTTACAGTCTCGTATGAAGTGCATCAGTTGATGTCTGCCTATATCAGCCAACCATCCATCCCTCTTCTTCCTTTACTCAGATTACTCTTTTAGCAAATGCGCGACTTTGAGAGCTCCCGACTTCCATGATTGCCCCTCATCTGAAATATTGAATCTGCTGTCTCCAAGACCCCATACGTGAAGGTGTCTGAGTTTCGACGCTATCATGACTGTTGATCATCATGACAAAAGCGAGAAGTCTGCCAGCTCTCCTTCTTCGGAGCCTCAAGGCCCATTAACAAATGATGCAAAAGAAGACGAGTTGCAAGCCAAGGCAAAGACCCGACCTGAGCGGACAGCAAATTTCAAAGATTACCTGGTGAGTAACCCTCTGACGGCGCCATGTATCAATAACTCTCTTGTAACATCCATAACTTGTAGCGGATATTCTCCTACGCAACAAAATGGGATTTCTTTGCGTATGCTGCAGGCTTTTTTGCAAGCATTGGAGCAGGGATTGTAAGTTGCTCCAAACCTCGGTATCAAGACAAGATCATTAGCTAACGCGTCTTTTAGACGCTGCCATTAATGAATGTAGTTTTTGGTAAACGTATTCACAATTCCTAGCTCTGAATCTGTCCCTGACCATTACTAGGACAATTCGTTGGCAACTTTACAGAATACTTTATGCCAGGCAGCACAACATCGCAAAGTGAATTCAACAAAAGCATCGATAAGTTGGCGTTGTATATGTTCGCTCTGTTTCTTGGTCGTTTCGTGCTCAACTCTATCAACAAGGTATGATCGATCAACTGACTCTTCATCCAAGCACTCGGTCTGATCTGACCACCACTAGTTCGTCTTCCGCATGATAGGCATCAGGCTATCATCCGCCATCAGACTTCACTACCTACAAAGACTATTCGGTCAATCTATCCATGTCCTCGACTCAATGCCTCCAGGCTATGCCACAGGCACCATCACTTCTACGGCCAATGTCCTACAGCTAGGCATATCAGAAAAACTAGGCACCTTTGTTGAATACAACTCAACCATTGTAGCTGCGATTATTGTAGCATTCGTCAAGAACTGGTCCCTGACTCTTGTCACATCTTCAATCATCCTATACCTTTTCCTTGTCTTGGGAACATTTCTGCCCATGATACTCAAGGTTAATGCGCTCATCACAAAGGTTGCGGTGCCCTTGCCCTTCAAAAACCTCGACTGCTGACCAAGAATTAGGCAGAGGGCAGAGCTGGTGCAGTTGCCAGCGAAGCTTTGGCGAGCGTCAGGATGGTGGCCGCGTGTGGTGCAGAATCACGCATTTCTAGGCGATACGGCCAGTTCGTCGAGGAAACCCGCCAACATGGTAAACTTCTATCTCCGCTTGTCGGCTCACAACTTGGTTTGATAGTGAGTAACCTGGATGGTGACTGAACTTCAAGCTGCTGACATACGTAGTTTTTCGGGCTCTATGCTGGCTTCGCCCTTTGTTTTTGGTTTGGTGCCAAGTCCTACTCTGAAGGAAGATTGGACAACGTGGGAGATGTCCTTGTGTGAGTCCGTCCATATGACAAATGATACTATGCTGATAGCTCCAGCGTATTGCTCTCTGTTATGATTGTCGTACTTTCCCTCGAACGAACATCTACGCCGCTGCTAGCTGTTGGGAAAGCCACCGTGGCAGCCTGCGAATTTTTTATTGTTATCGACGCTCCGCAGCCTGCCAAGGGTACTCTGAAGGATCCCGAAGTCTCTTCGACACAGGATATCATTTTCGAGGATGTTACCTTTGCTTACCCTAGCCGGCCTCACGTCAAGGTGCTAGATGGCCTGGACTTGCGTATAGAGGCCGGAAAAATCAATGCGATTGTCGGGCCGTCCGGGGGAGGCAAATCGACCATTGTTGGGCTCATTCAGAGATGGTATACCTTACAGGATCAACACGTCCTTGCCAAGGTCATTGAGAAAGAGAAAAAAGGGGGTCGCAAGAACAAGAAAGATGAGAGTGATGAAGATGTCGACGCAGAAAACGTGGTTGATAACGAGCCTGAAGAATCAGGACCTCCTATTGAAGTCCACGGGCGAATCTTGACAGCAGGCCAATTGTTGGACGACATCGATTTGAAATGGTGGAGGTCCCAGATAGGTCTCGTCTCGCAGGAGCCATTTCTGTTTAACGATACGATCTATAAGAATGTTGCCTATGGTCTGATCGGAAGTCCATGGGAAAATGAGACCGAGGACAGGAAGAGAGAACTGGTTAGGGAGGCTTGTCGAGAATCATTCGCCGACGAGTTCATTGATCGACTGCCAGATGTAAGTTGTGGCCAAACCTCGGCGAAAACCCATCAAGGCTAACACATGCAAAGGGGTTGGACACACTCGTTGGTGATAGTGGTGCCAAACTCTCTGGTGGACAGAGACAGAGGTTGGCTATTGCACGATCTATCGTGCGAAAACCAAGTATACTTATACTGGATGAGGCCACTAGTGCTATTGATGTCCGTGGTGAGAGGATCGTCCAGGCGGCCCTTGACAGAGCTGCGAGAGACCGGACCACTATCACAATAGCCCATCGATTGTCGACCATTAAGAAAGCAGATCGTATCATCGTCTTGAAGAAGGGCAAAGTCGCCGAATCAGGTACACATGACAGTCTCATGACGATCGAGGGTGGAGTCTACTCAGGGCTTGTGCATGCACAATCCCTATCGCTCGGAGAACCCACAGATGCAGGAGATGAGTCGGCTGAAACTGAGGACAAGCCCGTCCTGGCCAACGTGACGAGTGTTGCAGCTTCCGAGGTTGATACGTCGACAGAGGCCTCTAAAGACAAGGCGCGGAACTTCTTTGCAAGCTTTGGTCGACTGTTCTATGAGTCAAAGAATGTCTGGCCAGCGTTTTTTCTGACTCTATTTGCCGGTGCCTGTGTGGGAGCTGGAGTACCACTACAGGCATGGATCTTTGGGAAGATTATTGTTTCTTTCAACGACATAGGGACTGACTCGAACCTATCCGGGAGCAACTTCTGGTCGCTCATGTTCGTCGTCTTGGCTTCAGGAATTGGAATCAGCTACTTTGTAGTTGTCTTCGTGGCCACTCGGATGTCATCCACGATACGCGTGAAATACCAGAAGCAGTATTTTGATGCGGTAATGTTTCAGAAAACATCGTTTTTTGACCATGAAGACCACTCTCATGGAACAATAACGTCCCGGCTTGGCCAGGACCCCAAGCAACTTGAGGAGTTGATGGGACTGAACATGGCTAGTGTCTTTGTCGCCCTCTTCAACGTGGTTGGAGCAATATCCATTGCGTTCGCTTTCGCGTGGAAACTAGCTCTCGTCTCATGCTGTGTCGTGTTGCCCATAATGATCGTTTCAGCGTACTGGCGCTTCAAATACGAGCTGGCATTCGAGAAGATGAACAATGATGTCTTTGCTGAGAGCTCAAAGTTTGCATCCGAGTCAATAGGAGCATTTAGAACTGTCACTTCGCTGACACTGGAGGATTCGATTTGCCTCCGATATCAGAACTTACTCAACGAACACGTTGCATCAGCATACAGAAAAGCCAGATGGGTGAGCTTACTCTTTGGTTTCTCTGATAGTGCCAGTATGGCATGTCAAGCTCTGAACTTCTGGTGGGGAGGTCGTCTTTTATCAAGACATGAAATTGGTCTAGTTGCCTTTTTCGTCTGTTTCAGTAAGTGAGCATTATGACGTTCTGTATTCGAGTAGTGCAGACTGAGACCCAAACGCTTCTGACCCTTGCTTACATCTCACAGTGGCGATTACAAATGGAAGCGAGGCAGCTGGGCAAGCCCTTGGCTTTGGACCAAACAGTGCGATGGCTTCTGCAGCTGCGAATCGTATTCTAAACATGAGAGAGAGCAGACCGCGAGACAAGGTCTCTACCTCGCAGGAGATCCCAGATACAGATGGTGGAATGTCGATTGAGCTGGAAAACATCGCCTTCAAGTACCCGACTAGGAGCACGCCCGTATTCAAAGGATTGAGCCTGAAGATTGAAAAGGGACAGTTTGCTGGCCTCGTAGGCGCCTCAGGCTCAGGAAAGTCATCGATCATTTCGTTACTGGAAAGGTAGGCTTTGACATCCATTGCAATTACATACATCGTGCCGTGGCTGAAGAAACAGATTTTACGACTTGGACAAGGGCCGGATCCTCCTGAATGGCAAGGATGCTACCGATATCAACCTGTACGAGTACCGAAAGTACTTTTCTCTCGTGGCTCAAGAAGCCACCCTCTTCCAGGGCACCATCAGGGAGAATATCTTACTCGGAGTCGACCCCTCAGCAATCACCGATGAGCAACTACACCAAGCGTGCCGTGATGCCTCGATCCACGATTTTGTCGTCTCATTGCCCGAGGGCTACAATACAAATATTGGATCACGTGGTGTATCACTTTCAGGTGGCCAGAAGCAGCGCGTGGCGATTGCTCGCGCTCTGATTCGCGACCCAAAAGTCCTCCTTCTCGACGAAGCTACGAGCTCCCTTGATTCAGAAAGCGAAAAGCTAGTCCAGTCGGCGTTCGAAAGAGCTAGTGAAGGACGCACGATGCTCGTGGTAGCACATCGACTGGCCACAGTGCAGAATGCTGATGTGATCTTTGTCCTGGGAGATGGCCAGTTATTGGAACAAGGATGCCATGCAGAGTTACTCAAGAGGCGGGGCGTCTACTGGAACATGGTGAGTATTCTTGCTCGCCGACTGAAATGGCGGGAGTGTGCTAATCGAATATAGTGTCAAAGTCAAGCCTTAGATCGTTAATAACGAAAGCGAGTGCAAAATTAAAGCATGTACTCCGTAAATCGCTCTCTACTCTATATTCTATCCCGGAAACCAGAGGGCATGAATATAGCAAACTCCTGAACCCAACTCCCTGCTCTCGCTTTTTGTAAATGTCTGGAGCCCTGCTGTAGAAGACATCAAACAGAGATACAATAAAACACGATCATTATCACACCCTTTTAGTATTGAACATGTCGTCAATCTCGCTAAGGATGTCTCCCGCATGCGTCATAACGAAATCATGGCTCCCTGGAAGAATTCGCCAGCAGACATGGTGCTCACCGCCAATGAGAGATAGTGCATCCTGGCGATAGGAATCGGGGTCAATAATCTCGTCAGATCTAGCTAGTAAAATAGCTGTAGTGCCAGGAGCACGCTTGGACAACTTGGCCCAGGCGTCATGCTGATCGGTCAGGGGTGCAAAGCGAATGCTCGACATGAACGCGGGGACGAAACCACTGTGATGGGTGACCATCCAGCGCACATACTCCATGACACGTTGCTCCAACGGCGTAACGGCCTCGCCGGACGCTGGAACCACCTCTGCCTCGGCAACATTGAGTGGTGGCGTAGTGACTGCCTCGATGGGCGTCTTGGGAGGTGGCTTGGCTGAAGCCGCGATAGGCTTTTGAAGACGACTGCGTGTAGCAACGGCGAGAATGCGCTCCGGGACTAGGCCAGAGACGAAGAGGAATCGAGAGACGCGGCCAAAGGAGGAGGCGCGGATTAGACCTGCAGGCGCGAGGAGCACAAGGTCGCGTACGAGGTTAGGAAACGCATTAGCAAAGTGAACTGCGATGCCACCGCCGAGAGAATAGCCAACAAGGCGGAAGGCGTTTGTACCGGTCCATGCAAGAGGGCTAGAAGCCAAGACGAGAAGCATTTGGGAGACGTAGAGACGGGCGTCGTGTGGAATATCAGCGACACCATCGGAGAAACCACGCCCAAAGAGATCCTCGAGAGATGTTAGTCCAGCTGGAGACGTCGAGTAGGTAGCAAGAAGCTTACAAAGAGCATCACACGATAGCCGCGTTTGGCGAGCCCAAGAGCTATAGGCCCGAGAGTAATGCAGGGAGTGCTGATGCCGTGCACAAAGAAGACCTTTTCACCATTCTCAGGGCCAAACTCGTAAACACGTATGCTTCCGTACTAAGTCTGTGGTCAACATAGTTCTGGGTATCAGGCCGCGAGATAGTGGCTTGCTTACTGGGGTTTCGACATCTCGAGCGCCAGGAAACTGATCAGGTTGATAAACAAGATTCTTCAACTTATCAGCATTGGCCTTGTCGTACACGCCCGCCTTGAGCGGATTGCGAATGGTTTTCGGGCGCACGGGGTAGAGAAGTGCGCGGGCGATGGCGAGAAAGGCAACAGTTGAGAGAACAGTCGTTGTGACCACGAGGGCCGTTGGCGTATCTTGAGGAGACATATCTGTAGAATACTGGATGGCGAGAAGAGCTAAGGCTAAGGCAGAAAGCAAAAGTACAAGTTGATGATGGGCTGGCTGGTGAAGAGAAAGGGTGAACACTTGTTCAGCCACTCTGTGAGATTGGTTGATTAAGTACCTAGGTAGGTACAAGGTAAGGTATGTAGCACGTAGGTAGGGCTGAGCCAACGATACAGTCACAGTGATAAAGCAGAAATGCTCAGCATGTGATAGCTCTTTTCGCCTTTTTGGGGAAATACGTGATCGACAGGGACAAGAAATAAAATAAAGGATGCTGTACTCCGTACAAAAAGCGTTCCAGCTTTGCAGGTCGGTCTGAGGGATACCGAAGGTAACGTCACCATACCTACGGGCTTTTCCACTGACTGAGCTGAGCTAGCGCCGCCGGCTGAGCCGGAGGTTAAAAATAGGTACCCACCTACAGTACCGACATACACCCAAGAGCTTGTGATACCCTCTATTATGATATTTACTATGTGATAAATCTGTCTCTGTTTTATTGGCTGACAATAATGCCTGGTATTTTTGTCTATAAAAGTTAACGCGAGCTAGAGTGTCCAATAAGGTAGTTTTGGATACCTGTATGGTTGCTTTATATTGTACTTTATAGTTACTAAAGCGTGAGTGTTTCAGATTACCTACCTAGTAGTGAATACTGTTTCTGATATACCACGATTCTAGACATTTCATCAAGTGTGGCAACTGTCTCTAGATGGACGTCGCCGAACAAGGTATGCAGTATTCATGGTTGTTTTTTTCTTACGGTAGAGCAGAAAGTTATGTCTTTATTTGGGTGTCTAGGCTCCGGTTTGTCGCTGTTAGACAGCTGGCTGGACTCTATAAAGCCGCTTATATTTATAAATTCATGCTCAGCATCTGTTTGTGGCTATGGCGTAGGCTGACTATGTTGAGTACCTAGGGTCAAATGAAGCTCTCTAAATGCTGAGAGGATGTACCTTGACCAGTTGCAGGGGCATGACTGACATTCTCTATTTGCTTTAGATCCTTTCTATTACTGCTCCTGCTGCTGAGGAGTTTTCCCTACCTATTTTTTGTCTAATCTTCTTGATGAGCTTATGTACTTTAGGTAGATATGCGGGTATTATCAACTTCAATTTTGGCCCCAGACCGAGTAAACATAACAACTTTTCATCCTACTATACACATCGCATCATGACAATCCCAGACTCCCTAACCTAGCCCTACTGCCCAAGCAACATTTCCCAGTTGCCGTATCAAAATGCTTAGGTTTTCCACAATCGCTGGAGCCATTCTGTTTGCTCCACCGAAGTTGGCTAGGAGTATATCGTGAACAGCCTCCATGGTCGTCTTTGGATTCTCAACTGATGCCTCAGTTGCTCCATTGCGTTGGTTCGGTCCTCGAATGACTGGCACGCCTTGCCCCGTAGCAATGTACTGCTGCACGCTCATCGCTTCCGGGCCATCGATGTAGACTTTGTCATGCTGAGAAGACATATCCTGCTGGCTCCCGGCTTTTGTTATCACCCCGTACGTCCACAAGGCCAGCGCCGCATGATGTACACCGACGGCGTAGAAGTTTTTCAACTGAGCTGAAGGGAAGAGCTTGGCAAATCGAAGAACTTGGCCGGCGTGCCATATAGCTGCCCGAGAGTCTACACTTTCGACCCATTGCTGGAGCACAGGGAATGTCCGATGTGCCTGTTCATCTCCCTCTTTTCCTGCGAAGAGCTGCAAGTCGTCCATAGATATATGCAAGGCCATCATGAGCTGATTGAGCAACAGGCGTTCTTGGGCTGTGACCTCGGGCCAGTTCGTGGTTGTGGTTTTGAAAGCCTGCAGGTCCTGGAGCAGTTGGTGGCGTCGTGCAGCTAGCAATGAACTGGAGCCTTCATACGTGTCTTGGATATATGATCGTGTTCTGCAAGACGAGCAAAGATTTCTATACTCTAAGATCAGGAGCCAAAAGGCCTGAAGATAGATTGCTGCTGAAAATTGTACATCCAAACGATGTCGATTCTCTGAAAGGAGGTTCAGATCGCGGAATAGATCGCCAACTGACGGCGCCCGTTTCATGTGTCCAGCCTCTCGTCTTAAGTACGCATCCTTCCAATCCTTTGCTGTCTTTGCGCACCACAATTCCTTAGATGCAGGTAAGGGGAGGGTGAGTTCAGCGTATGACATGACGGGGTTCGTCAGAGCTGTCATGGACTGTTGGCTATCTCGAAGGAAAAGATGGAACACAAAACTGGCGTGGTCAGCATTGATAACAGACAGAAAGAAGAAGAAGAAGAGAAAAGGAAAGTAAAGGAGAGGAAAGACAAGAGCGTCGCAAATACTTACCGTTTCCACTTCTCCATCTCGACCCATGTCCGCCACTTTTGCTCGAGATTCGCACCCTCATCCGCTGGTGTGACTGAAAGCATCGGATACGAAGACCTCTGGAACTTGCCACGATATCGCATCATCGTCACGGGGATGTTGACGTGGCACTCTGCAATTTCCATCTTCCGTCGATTGCCGCTCCAAAGACCCGTGTCTTGACCCAGAACAATAGCCTGGATGAGGCCTATGTTGAGGATTTCTTCGTTGTTTTCTTCAAAACGCCTGGGCATAACAATTCCTATTTCAAGGTCAGAGACAAGAAGAACTTCCGAACTGGTTATACATACGGATGGACTCCTGCAGAGCATACCCAAATTTTCGCAGAGTCGGTACGGGGATCAACACAGCACCAGCAGCTGCCGCTCCCGCAATCCATTCTGGCTCTTGCTCATTGAGCTTGAAGGTCGGGAAATGTATGTAATCCGAGACCTGGTTGGTATGCGAGTTGAGAAATACATGCAACATGGTGTCCAAAAGATCTGCTGAAGGAAAGGACCCTGAGATGCGGCTCGACATCGTATCAGGTTGACAGGCCCCCAAGACCAGTGCTAGTACGCCATCACGAGCGGCGAAATCGAGCTTTTGGTCAACGACCCTTCTGAACCCCCCCTTTGAAGCCTGAGCCTGTATACTAGCCACATCTCTTTTCGAAACTGGTAGATTTCCCTGCTCGCCAAAGGCGTTGTCATTTGCTACTGGGTCCCATCGCCATGGAGACACATCCCAGGCTGTGACAAGATTCTGCCGCATATGGTCCATGTCGATGGGGCTTTTGGGGGTCTCTTGCTGTACTGGGGCCGAGCTGGCCATCCCGTCCGTATTCCAATGATCCAGCAACCCAAAGTCCATGTCTGACAATTCCATGTTACTATCATTACAAAAGTTGAGTACTGCGAGACCTTGATTTTCTGGGATCCTGGCTGACTGGTCGTACTGGTGTTCGTATAAGACATCCCGAAGAAAATCACAAAAGGGAAGTTGATCTGTCCCGGCTTGGCTGGAAGATCCAGCTTCTGAGCTGGGTGGTAGATCCCCAGTGTTTGGGGTTGCTGACCGAGAATGTCCATGGAAGTGAGTATTCTGACCATACAGCGATGGTTGACCAGCGGGGTAAGAAGTCGGGTCAGGAAAGCTGGTGGGAGCGTATTCCGCGGAAGCATTGCTACTATCGTGTTCATCATCAGCAGGTGTTTTGGAACGAGCACTGGCAGACAAGTGAACTAGGTTCATGGCTGCAGACGAGCTTGCCTCTGACGAGACGCAGGTCAAGCCACGACGAACGCATCGTTGACAAGGCTTTTCCTCCTGACACTTGACCCTTGCGGTGGCACAAGCCTTGCAGGCATGGGTAACCCTGCCGGTGTTGAGAGAAGTCGTACGCCTGCGTTTCTTGGTGTCGTCGTTCTCATGGTTGGTCTCATGGCGCTTCTTGAGATCAGCACGCGCAAATGTCTTTCCACAAATCGAACAGGCAAATCTACGGCCCAAAGTATGGGTCTGAACATGGCGCTGAAGATGCTCCGGCCTCGAGTAACGCCGTCCACAGTGACCACAGGCGTAAAGTGCAAGCCCTTTCTCTGGCTTCGCTAGTGAGGAAGCGCCGCCAGCTGAATCTCCTGAGGACGGCACCGGCACAGGAGGAGGGGGATATGATTGAGATGCAGGGTAAACTGAGGCTGAATCTGAACGTGAAGGATCAATGTTCTGAGAAAGATTCGAGGACGAGGGCGAAGGGCCAGCCATTGCGCGCAACTCGTTTGGATGGATAGGTAGGTAGGTAGGTAGGTAGCGTAGCAAGCAGGCTTTACTAAGCCCGCAACGGTGCTTAATCTGACATTGAAGAAGAAGTATATATATTGGAGGAGAGCGAACCCCCAAGAAGAAGGAGAAGTAGAAAAAGAAAGATAGAAAACAGTGTACAACAATGTGAGGAGTTGAGATATGCGAGTGGTAGGTAGCTAGCAATCAACGCTGTAGGGCTGGAAGCGGAATTAATGTGGCGGATTTAGTGACGGATAATAAATTAGCAGGAACTTGAAGCAGGAAACAAATGATTGGCCGTGGGATTTAAAGAGTGTAAAAAGCTTTAAAGAAAGGTGCAGAGTGCAAGGATCAGTGACATGGAGCCTAGTCAGGGAATAAGTGACAAGAGACCAGGAAGCGACTTTTTTTTTCTCTCTCTTTAAGTTGTCATGGATCCATCCAATGCTAATAAAAGTCAAAGGTAAAAATGTAAATCCTGAACGGTCTCATTTGATGGGGAATGCCCTCATGATATGATTGGGCCCGCAGGATCTAAGCTGAGAGGTCTAGTCCCTTTTCTGGCCAAACTCCGGCCGGCAGCAGTATCGGAGTCAATCAGCCTACAGTACCACGTCAGATAAGTCAAAGCTCTAAAACGCTATCATGGCCTGCTAGTTATATCGAAACTTGGGCTACGTCCGATGTCGTCGTCAGCATATGTCGACTGGCCAGGGTCTGGTATGGGGATGCGATATTCCGCAACTGGCCAAGAAATTGAGAGCATACGTACTCTGCTCCATATTCAAGGGAGCCATCGTGAAACTATTACGTCTTGTTCTAGCTGCGTACGTCTTCCTCTCTGTCTAATCCTGCAC